GTTGCACATAACCACACCATGCAATGCCACGCTGACAGTGGAATGTGAAGTGTGCCAGAATTGTGTTCTTCCACGTCGCGATTACAATAGACTCGTCCAAGGCATTCAGTGGAAAATAATGCTCACCTCCACTCCCAATCCAGCGATGCTTTTGTGAGTTTCAAACGAGCCGTCGACAAGTGGGCGAAGGGAAGACAATTACAAGCAGTGAGACAGCGATTTTCCCCACCTCTGTCACACAAAATGCACCGCTTTGTTGTACATGTGGCCCGTTCCACAAGTCACTGAGGCATGTTAGGTCAGAGGAGGTCAAGCAGAAGTCGCTTCACAGCCACCCACTAAAGCGAGACGGTGAGCAAGAGTTCAGCAGCTTGGCTCAATCCCAAGTGCCGCGTCTCCTCCTGCCTTCTGCCTCACGTGGACACTGCAACGACCTCACAACCTCCATCTTATTGCAAACCCAACAACGCGCCTTGTTGCCTTCCTCCCCTTTCAGTGGAGCCTATGCAACTCGTAGGTGGCGATGCTTCAAGAGAAGGCATGTGCAAGTGCCTCACCGGTGTGCGGTGGAATGAAGTATTTGTACTGTGTTCCCACCTCTGCCGGAGCAAAGTTCCATCAACTACTTCAACTAACGGGGCCCGATGGCGCACATCCAGACACATGCATGATTGTGGTGAAAGATGACCCATGCAGCAATTCCCGGATTCCACAAGTGGACAAAGGGGAGGGCAACCGCACACTACAACACAACACACCACTCCACACCACACCACACACCGCTCGCTCTCCTCTCTTGACGTCATGTCGCCTATACTTTTCTGCCAAATCTCCCCTTCGTCCAAATCCACCGTTGGCACGCCCACGAGAGCAAAACAGAATGGAGAGCGGATTGTTGCCTTGTGACGGCAACAGCTCACCAGAGACCTGTTCACAGTTGTACCTCAGTGAACAGAAGTGTGGTGGCCTCTGCCTCACCCCTTCTGCTCCAGCAAGTGTCGTTGGCTTTGCAATGTGTCACATGTGCCACAAATCGGTGTACTTTAAGTAAGAAAAAGAAAATAAAATTGTGCAACACCGTGTGCGGACGAGTTTTCCTTTTGTCTTGTTTGAGGAGTCCACTGTGTGAGGGAGGGTAAGCACTGCTTCCCTATCCACGGTGGTGGTGGTGGAAGACGAAAGCGATGTGAATGACACGACTCTGCCACTTCAAACGTCCCACCGACAAGAGAACACCCAACCTCCCTAGCCCACCCTTCTCCCACAACTCTCTTCCCTACTCGTATGCGCATCACCTCCTCCAATCTCCGCGCCTCAATTTGCACCTCCTTTGCCATTTTACTCATCGCCATCGCATTGGGTTTGAGGGAAGTCGTTCTCGTGATTGATCAATCTTCAATGGAGACGGTGACCCACACCTGCCCATTGCCGCACCACGCCTATATGGAGATGCAGTGCACCGAATAATGTCACACAACATGACGCTACTTGATGTGGCACCAAATGAGTGTGCCACTTCGATAGCTGCGTCGCAGCACCCGAAGCCAATCATCCTTCCTCAGTGGCACCAACGCCATTGACACCGACATCATTTCCTCCTGCCTCTACACTAGCACGACGACGAGGTGGTGCAAATGAGACTTCCTCATGCACTGACGATCTACAAACACCAACACGTCCTAATGCCGAGTCTTCGCCTCTGCCACACCAAACTGAGCCATGCCAGCTTTTCCCATCCTCTCGCCTGCATTAACCAGAATACGCCCTCTTCT